AGTACTACAAGAGAGTCAAAGAGGAAGCTGGCCATTTACTGCAATTTTTTTCTGGTAAAGCAGTGTTCCTCAGTATTAATATTCTGCCTGTCTGATTTTGCTCAGTGGTGGAGAGCCTCTGCTGTAATAATTCCAGAAACAGAAAAAGTTGCTAGCCTATCAGTAAGAAAAGATGGGGAATGTAACAAGACTCTTGCCTACTAAGCCTGCAGCTTCAGGGTATCCTGTGCTATTGCTTCTGTTCATCTTCATGATCTTTTTTGTATGGGAAGGAACAGGTGCTCCACAACTCTGAATGTCAAACCAACACTGCTCTGCTTCAAGATGTGAGGTTCTTTTAGCTGGCAGCCAAATAAAGCTTCCTGTAAGCATTTGAACTTAAGGGCAGAAAGACATGTACATTCAGCACCAAGAGAGTATTTTCTGAAGATGTATTTATCTGAAGACTGACAGAAAAACAAAACCATTCCATCATGCTGTAGTAAGTATGTCTTTAGGAGAAAAATAAGGCCTTGAAACATGACGGCTGACATTCCCCATGACTTGCAAGAAAGAATAAATCTTGGATTCCTGTAGAGCATTTGGGGGAAAAGAGCCATGAGAAAAGAAAGCTGTTCTGTATTTCAGCAGTCTCATTCCTGAGTGTCCTGCCACTGAGCAAACACACTTCACTGAGGGTTTCACTGACCTCTCTAGTTCCCTCCAGTGAGGTTGCTTCCAAGCTAAAATGATGCATCTGAAGATTCTTTTTTACTTCATGAGCAAGTTCCCACTCACACTGAGTTCTCAAAGGATTCAGGTTTGGAGAGTTCACCAGTGACATAGGCACTATGTAAAATGAAAGTTAATATGAGCTAATAGTCTGTTCTTACAGGAATGGAGTCAGACCTAAGGCAAATTTTCTGTTCTTCTACAATAATTTATATTTGGTTTTCTGCAGCAGACAAAAGATTATAGCACAGCACAGCTGAAAGGTACTGTATACTTCTGTGTTGCCATTGGAAAACCTTACAACTCATAATCTTATTGCCACCAATGAAAATGTTAATTTTGATTACTGAAGAAGGAAGGGAGGAGATAAGGAAGCTCCCCACCTTCTTCCCAAGAATGCCAGGCCCTCTTTTCTCTTGTGTCAGCATAGAAGCATAACATCTATCAAAAAAAAAATCAGTTTTCTTGGATTGTGGCCTGTAGTGTCAAGGAAAAAAAAAACTGGGAAAAATTACCCATCTTCCTGAAGTATCAGGCTATTTTTATGGACAATGAGCAAGAGATATATGAAAAACAAATCCTCAACCATGAAAATAACAGAGGAAACAAGCTTTATTTTTATTATTTGAAATTTTTGTGCGTGGTAAAGGTACACATTTGACTCTGGTTTTCCTACATTTCCAAGACAGAGTAATTTTTTTTAATTGTCGGCTAAAGCATCAAGAATACCGTGGCACACAGGAAGCTAAAACTACACACACACACACACAAACACTTTGATGCACATCTTTCATCCTTGACCTTAAGGAGAAAAGGTTTGTATTTAGCCTCATAGGGATTAAAAAAAAAACAAACAAAAACAACAACAAAACAAAACAAAAAAATAAGAATATTTCATTATGAGTGTCAAGAGAGTGCAAGGCTTACATATACGCAAAACGTATGAGATTGACTTACAAAGATGGAATGTACAAAAACTTTTAAAAGAACATGAAAAAAAGACACACTTACTCCTGGAGCTGGAAAGCTGCAGCTTATCAGCTGGTAGAGATTTCTAACAGAGGCTGCTGCCATTCACTGTGCAGCTTAGGGAACATTCCCATGTCATAAAGCCAAAGAAAAGGTGTCAGGGTTAAGGCTGTGTTGCTCACAAACATCAACTGAAGTGCTGTACAATTCATCAGAAATAACATGACCTGTTAGGGTCTTCCTACTTTGTAGCACAAATACCTTTTGTGTACTTTCCACAAACAGGTCAAATAATCACTGCTCACAATTCTTGAAAAAGTTTTCAAAGTACATCATGATTTCCTAACTAGCTGTCACCCACAACTGAAGGTCATTTCTTTATAACACAACTTATTGGGCACTTATAGTTCTCATTATGGCAACACTAGATCCTTAGCTATAAAAAATATTGACATGAAATCAAAAGCCCTCTAGCTTTTATAGAACAGATGAGCATTTGCTTATAAATAACTCTCCATCTTCATTAGGCAAATGCTCATCTAAACATTTTTCCTTTTCTTTTTCAGCTACATTGCTGCTGGTTTAGCCTATGTAAAAATCTCCTACTGTTTACAGTGGATTTATCTGAACAGATCCTTTTATTCTATTCACAAAACAATGAAAATACAGTGGGCTAGTTTGTCCTAAAATGCTCCAAATGACACAAGATCTAATAATCATTTGAGATTACTTTTGCGTTGAAGATTAGTTAAGTGAAGCACATACTTTCACCATTCATGCTGTGCTGCTAGTCAATTAGCATTCCAGGGAAGTCAAGGGAACATTTGGTTATACCTGAAATCTGGCAGCAGTGTGCCTATAAAGCCTTTAATAAATGCTAACAACTCAGCAAATCACATAGTGCAATTCTGATGTTCCCTTAATCGGATGAGAAAAATATCTGCCATTTTTTTTAGCACAAAATTTCTGCTTTGGTTGCTCTTTGAAAGGTTTGTAAGCATTGCAGCATAGTTGGCTTCAGAATCACACTGTAAAAACAATGTGTTTCTCAGTTTCCTGGTGCCAGGCAGATAAGGTCAGACCTTGGAAGGGAATGCCTTATGCCACTGAACTTGAAATTGTAGTTGGCAGCATTTGCTATCAGAAGGATCTCCAAATTAGTGACATTTTTCAGGTGCTGCTCTGGTGATAATGTCTGAAAATCCAGAAGACTGCCCAATTTTAAGAAAAAAATCCACAAAATCCCTAATAGCTTTTAGCTGGGTTGTAACAGGGTTGTGTGCAGAATTTCATATTTAACCAGGATGCACTGGGTTGTATAAAATCCTGGTAAATAATGCTGAACCAAAGGGACTGAAAAGCTTCTGAAGAAAAGTGGAATAGTACAGTCTTAAGTATATGTTTTGATATATAGGTTAGGATCTGATTTCTATGCTTCTCAAAGTTCCTGACAACAGAGGATTTGGCAATGTTTTCTGAGAGGTAAACATGCAAGTTTAGTAAAATTCTATTATAAAACAATTTAGAACTATATACGATAACTGTCAGCAACAGCACATTTCTCATTTTCTTGTAAAAGTTTTATCTCAAAGAACCCGTGCACCTCTTTTCTTTGTTAATAAATACAGTTAAAATGCTACACACCTTTTCTTCATGGATAAATTGGCCATTTAAGGGCCTTGCAATGTTAGAAATTGTTTGTTTGGCCAAAGGTATTTTATAAGGACACTTATAATGGAAATTTGATCTAAAACTTTGTTAAATTTTGATAGGATAGTTTATTGTGTGATGACTGTGATACCATCTTCAGAATTTTAGGACAAACTCAGTTCAAGCAGAGGATATTTTGTTCTCTTGGTAATACCATACTTGAGTTTTAATATTTCATAAATGTTCCACCAGTTTCTTAGCTGCACTATACAGTCCAACCTTAAGCCTCATGCACAAAATATTTATTGCAATGAAATAAGGAAACTAATATTTGCACAAAAAATTGTAAATTGGCTCTATGTGCAAAAAATAAACAAGGGAAGGAAGAGGAAATATCTTTAAGAAACAGTAATTAAAAAACAGACAAATTCCCCAGACAAACCTTGGGGTCTGCATTTTTACAAGTCAAACGCATCTTTACAAAAAAAACCATTAGTTTTTCTCAAATTCATTGAAACAACCACCTTAACCTTTTAGAAATAAGACAAATACTTATAACGAGTACTTTTATCAAAGATTTCTTTCCATTTTGCAAACATGCTTAAAACACTCCCTTGTTTCTGACCCAATGCCCTTTTGTTTCAAGGCCCTAAAAATGAGAAAAGACAGACAGCACTTCCCAGGCTCTTGCAGGCATTGGCAGCAAGCTCACCAGCTCCTCAAACGAGGTTTAGAAGGGAGCACCAATCCATATTAGGCTACAGTAGCAATTCATCCTTTGACCATGAGATTTAGAAATAAGAATAAAGCCAATGCTACTTTAAAAAGGACAAGTTCACGCTTAAAAAAAACAATAAACCAAACATTAAAAACAGAACCATGACTGTAAGCATTTCCAGTTAAATTAATATTTCAACAAAGAACACAGTAGTGAGATCTGGCAGGAAGAAGGGAGGACATTTTTCAGAGTACTGCCATTGTCAAATGTCATACATATGTTCCAGTTTGCTGAAATAACCCACTTTTTTATTTTTATTTTCATATTTTTGTGTCAATCAGTCATACATACATACATACATACAAACAAATCAGAACAAATCTCACAGTCCTTATTTTGTCCTCTAACAAAATTCCCTTTGATGAAGGACTTCAGGAATTGGTTCAAATTCGTTCTTATTTGTAACGTATTTTTTTCTCATGTAAAAACAAATAGCTTTGGTAACCCTTGGCTTTCCTATACAACCTCTGTTTACCACAGTTCCTTTGGTTGTATAATGTAGGTCCTCCACAGGGGTACCTCTCTGGCTTTCTGTCCTGTGTGATGCTGCATCTTATTTTATTGGTTAATACAATGAGTTGCCATAAGGAAACATGGCAATGAACACACATGAAAGAGTGGCACACATGAGGTTAATTGAGTTGACATTGTAATAACCCTGATCCTAATGAACTAGTTTGGTGTCAAAAGGTCTGTCGTTATACAGAAATTCCGCTCCCACTAATGTATCGCTACAATTAGGTTTTTCCAGATCTTTAGAAATGTCAGGTCTCTGCAAAGTCCTTTCTGCACATTGAGCAAGAGGAAGAGTGAAAAACGAGCACATGAAACAATCCTTCATTAATTCCACATGAGTAGGGAATTTGCATTGATTTTTATGGTGCTAAATGTGGAGCTGTGTTAGGTCTGACACTTAGAGCTAGACGGATTTTGTGAGACTTAACCTTACACTAAAAGGACCTACTTGTTATAGATAGTAAGACTGAAGAATGTTAAAACTGTAATACCTACCATGATAATGAGATCTATAAGATTCCCAGGATCGCCTCTGGGTTAAATAATGCGTAAGAATGATGCTTCTTTAAACTTGGAAGCTCTGAACAGGAGCTACCCTTTGCAGTCATCAAAAAGCTTTGGGGACTTTTCCCAAACTTTTCTCATTTTTGCCTAATTAGTTAATTCCAGTTCCATAGGTTGCAGTTTGTGTTTAATTTCACATTGTCTTTATGAATTCAGTTCAAGAGGAGTTTTTGTATTAACCTTTGCAACAAAAAGTTCAGTGAGAAACATAAGAGGTGCAAGTCCTATGTAAACAAGGTAAGTTTGGAAATTATCACAACAAGTCCATAAGAGACTCCTTCATTATTAAAAATTAACTCAAAGTAGGAGATATCCCACACTGGATCTCTAGGACCAGTCCTTTTCTTAAGGGTGGGTGATTACCCAGCTCCAGAACTCATTGCTACTGTAAGTATCGATAGACCTTGAAGCAGTGATTTCCAGAGTCCGCAACTACGACGTGGCCATCTGAAGTAAGGGCCAGACCTTGGGGACCATATAGTGGGTCAGCAGAGGTGTTAATGTAGGACAAAAATGATCCACTTCCATCAAAAACCTTCGAGGGTGAGAAAGAACAGAATAAATGTTATGAATAAAGAAGAAAAAGAGCAGACACAAGTCTGCTCTCGATTATACTGTTACACTTCTCATTTCTGAAACAGTTGACATACGCTGGAATAAAAAAGGGCAGAATCTGTTCTATTATCTCATAACATGCAAGTTTATACACAAATGTATTTTATGATTAAGAAGAACTATTTAAAGCCAGGATCTTTGGCAAGAATTAAAGACACAATGGAATAGTAATAAAAAAGCACTTTGGCTGTTCCTGATTCTAAAAATAGTCAACTACAATAAAGTAAACTCAATCAGGAACTTAACCAACACCTTGTTTTCCTAATAAATATTACTGTTGTGGCTAGCCTGGCTCTTAGGTTCCCACACAGAGAAAACCAGGAATTTGTTTATACTGTTGACAGTGCTTCCTGAGAACAACTCATAAGCAGCTCCCTCATTTCTGTATTCAGTGCAAATAATACATACACTTATTTATTAGACATTGTCAAATAAGAAGACTTTGTAATGAGCACTTGAAAGATAAAAGCAGGGTAACTCTCGTAACTTAAAAGCAAAATCATTTCTCAACATTTAAAAAAAGACAATAAAAATCTGCTGCATTTGCCTCAGGTCATTTGTTTTTTCATATTTTCCACCATGTCTGCAATCTTCAGTTACGGTGATTATAAATTACTAGCATCTCAGCAGTGCTTGCAAGTCTCATATGTTATCGAATAGCTTTTGGGGAACTACTTGGTGACAAAAGCATTGGTCACAGTGACCAACAGAGTTGCTAGCAGTCATACTGGAAAGCCCATGATCTGACACTACCAGTTCAAAAAGTGGATGGACCAGCAATGAGGCATATAAAAGTTTGTGTGAGAAACCACATCACTTCTAATACTGCTATTATGTTTCTTGGGCAGTCTGAAGATTTCAGTGGCCAGAGTTATCAATCCATTAGTTTTCTTAATCAAGCACCTTTGAAATACAGAAATTTCTACCTGTATTCGGCTGTTTCCCCAATCTGCTACAATAATATTTCCATTAGAATCTACAGCTACTCCAGTTGGTGCATTAAACTGTCCGTTTCCTTCTCCATTTGATCCAAACTTCAGCATGAATTCTCCCTCCTGGTTAAACACCTGTGTGAGTTAAACCAAAAACCTGAATATGGCATCATATCATACATTAGTAATCTACTACTACCAGTTTACCTGCTAATTAAGCTAGGAATTGCAGAGTTCCCAGAAACACACACCCCCAACACCCTTCCCCACCACTACAGCTTGCTTAATTCTTGAATTAAGAAGAGCTGAATGCAGATAGGGCTGTGGCTTCTGTGTTTCAGTTCTACAGAAACACAATGGAGCAGATGCACTATTCTTTGACTTTCATAACATCACACACACTGAGAATCACAGCATGCTGCCTCTCTGTATAGACAGTCCAGCAACTGAATTCTCTGTGATGGTAACAGGTTTAGACAGCAGAAAGATGGAACTGATCAATGACTAGTCAGTCAGTGACCTGGATGCACCAATGGGACTAAGTGAGATATGGAATGTGTCATTTGCATAGTACCATAGCCATCTGTAAAATAATTTGGCCCATCTTGGACTGAGGCCCAGCTGTAGCACAAGGTCCAACAGCTTCCTTAGAGACTGACTGTGGCTTGCAGAAGAAAATGCAAAGACCTGACAAGTGCCAAGTGCATACTGAAGTGCTAATAAGGTGGAAGATGTGAGGAAATCATCGTGTTCTTGAATACCCACATGAACAGAGCAAAGGCATTTGGGGAAGGAAATTAATGAAGTACTAGGTCAGTGTCTCAGATGATTGAAGAAAATAGAAAAAAAGTCAACTAATGAAAGAAACAGGCAAAGATGTATTGTTCTCTTCCTGGGTTAAAGGGACTGAATGAGAGAGAGCCCTAAATTGAGCAGGATTTTCCACAGAAGATGCCTCAGGGAAGGAACATGCTCGAAGGTTAATGGGGGAGGGAGAATAATGTTGCTGAGTGGACATGTTTAATTCAAGACACTAGTGGCAGGAAGAGGCTTTGGGACCCATAAGTGTGAAATGAATTTATTTAGTTATTCATAAATTAATATATTATTTAAAACAAGATGTACTCTGTGCTCCCAGATTATGAAGTACTCTCCAGAGTGTTAACAGTTACATGCACCAATTTAGAGAACACTACAAAAATAAGAATCTTTTCCAGTTAGTACTAAATTGTAACAAATAACATTTTTATCCGATTGAGTCACACCAGCAACAGATGGGAACACTCTGTTCTCATTAGAAATGCAGTAATTATAAATTTGCTAAGATGCCACACTTCTTACATCCTTCACTTGTTTTTTTTCATTTCAGTTTGCCCTTGTTGTTAAGCCACTCCAGGCATTCTTGTTACCAGGCAAGCCCTGCTTGCAGAGGGCTAATTTATGGAGTCATAGGCCTCCTGCTGCTAAACAGCCTGATTTAGGGTTCCTGCAGCAGTCTTGGTTTCTTTGTTGTAATCCAAACCATGAGTTGCTACTTCCTCTCAGATTCCAAAGGGCTACCGAGCAAGGTTGCTATTCAAAAGCGAGGTGATTCAGCACTGCTCAGGACATGAAGGTGTCTATGCTCAGGCAGTAACTTCCTATTTCACGTGAATATGTGAGATTTCAGCTATGAACAGTGAAGAACTGGACTGAGGGTTCATCTTTGTGTTACATCAAAACAGGAATCCATCAGATGAAATCCCAGGGATTTCATTGGTGTGTGGGACTGACACACATGCCCTGAGAACCCAGGTAGGACAGTGTTCTGCTGCCTGTGTCCCCCTGCTGCTGCTTCTTGTTGAGGGAGAGAAAAAGAGCAGACACGGAAAGGGTCTGAAAGGGAATGCCAGAGAACAAACACACACACAAGTAGTTCCAGAAATGGCCTGTATATCCTTCCTATACATTTTCCACCACTTGACATCTTAACATGTATCCTTGCTTTGGTTTATTATTGGGACAAACAAATACACCTCCTTATCTTACCATGAATGTTTAACAGGCCATGAGTCAGAATTTCCCATGGGTGTAAGGAATATTGGCCAGTTTTGTCAGTGCAGGAGGTACTGAATGAAAACCTATGATTACACAGTTGTTAAGAGAATTGGGTTGTAAATGGATCCCATAATCATAAAGCTTATAGGTATGGAATTGAAAGACTGTCATGTATCTTTACTTTGTTATAATTTTATTCAACCAGAAACGTGTAAAGCTTTTACTGGGAAATTCAAAAGCAGTTACCAGACTCTTAAAATAGGGCAGAACATAGGTCAATAACAGGTTTGGCAGAGGGCTAATATAAATAAATAAGCTGAAATTATTTATCTCAGGTACAACTTATGTCTAAGCAATTGAATTAGAGACCATTATAGCAACACCAGAGGCTCTATCTTCACTACGCAATGCACTGCATGCAAAGCTCTCTGCATGTGCTCTCCTTATATCAGAGCTCATAGATAGACTGTGATCTCCTTGGTTTTAACAATGCTTTACTTTCCCCAAGAATGTACCATAATAAAATAAGACTGGCAACTCTCAAAGTTGCCGTTAAGTACCTTGACAGAATGGTTATGAAAATCTGTAATGATAATTTCATTGTTGCTGTTTACAGCTGCAAAATGAGGACCTGCAATGCAGAAGAAAGAAAAAAAAGATAATACCATTAAAACAAAAAAATTGGTTACATTATAAAAAAAATAAATTCAGCCTGCCAGAATATTGTTTGGCTTCTGAGCAATAATAGTCAAATTGGGAATACCAATTTCAAATTAGAGTAATTTAATTTCATGTTTTTTAAAAAAAAGCTCAGCATGCTCTTTGCAAACACAAATAATTTCTTTTTCAACCAGTTGTCAGTTAAATGTCACCAATAAGCATTGTTCATTTCTCCCACTTGTCTACATATGACTGTGCAGAGATTTATATGCTTATTAACAAGACAAAATATGTAGTGCTTAGGCATAAAGTTGTGTATACACTGAAAATAGTTCTCAAAAATGTTCATGTAAAGTCTTAATTGAAATCTTCTGTGCTCTGTGTGCTCATTTACAAGCATTTGAGCTAAGAAGTTTTAGGATAAATACAGAAGACCACTGTCAGGGAACAAAGTGCATTTTTTGCTTTACATTGTGTATTGAACTATGTGCTCAAACCTAAATAAAAAACAAATGGTAGATTGAAAACAGGCAAGTACCTGAACCAAAATACTTGGTGCTGTTTTGAAGTATTAAACAGATCAGAACTCAGTTTCAATTTTCACAGTATATCAGTGTAAACTATAAAAAAGGTGAAAACCTTTACACTGAAAACATTCAAGTAGTGACAATTTGCTGTTTTCTGTTGCCTACCAGCAAGAAGAGGTGACATATTTCTCAAATGCACTGCTTAGGAAGTATTTGCAGACTTATTTTCAGGAGGTGTTCTTACAAATTTTAAAATGAAAGACATTGGAGATGCACAGAAAATTTGGCTGTGTTAGAGCCAAAGCTCTCACAAATTATATATATATGGTATTTATGCCATAAGACATTGCAAGAAATCTCAAGATAAAAGCAGTTATACCATTGATGCTATTCCTCTCTTACACTGTGAACCACTCAAAACATCAGATCAATCAAACTACATATTCGTAGTGACCCAACACCTGAAAAATGACCTGCATATGTAACCTGGCAACTTCATTCTGAATTTTGAAAGAACAACTGTTCACCTAAAATATATCAGTTGGGTTTTTTTTACACTTAATTGCATGTTCAACTTGAAAGACACCATGTGCAAGCAATCAGTTGAATATAAGTGGCAATTTCCCCAAATCGGCATTGGCTGTTGCATAACTGTGTCTTCCTGATCTCGATCTTAACACTATCCCATTACATTCATTTTCTAATGAGTGGGAAGATACCACTTAGGGCATTGGTTTATGTGTATCTGATCACTGGAAACACAAAGCACAGTGTTTGAGTTGATTATCATGAACACTTAGTGTGGGCATTACAAAGCAATTATAAAATGCTAGTTAAGATCAGTCTTTCTTGGGTCACTGATCTGAAATGCTTCCAGGCACAGAGAAGTAGATAAAACAATCTGGTTACAGCAACATTTGCAGAGCAGATGTTGCAGTCTTCCTGACAAATTAAACAAATGGTGAAGTGAATAGGAGCTGAATGTTTAATAGAATGTCTCCCCCAGAGGACGAGTAGTATATAGCATCTTCAACATGCTCAAACATCATGCAAATGTGAGCAGAAGAGGCAAGAAAAGGGGATTTACATATTACCATCAAGTGTACCTGCAAACTGCTTGTCACCATTTCCTCGGCTACCGAACCTGGTGACTATTTTTCCATTTGGCTGGAAGATGAAGACACAGCATGCTTTATTGTCCACCACAATGATGTGTCCATTACGATCCACTGAAACACCTTTAGGGCCCATGAGCTTTCCAGACCCAATTTTGGCCTAAAATGCAAAACACAAAACAGAAAAAACAGGTTAGCATAGTAGAAATTAGTTAGTACAGTTCAAAGATTGTATTACAGGCACATAGCAGGATGGAGAGGCATTTTCGTAACCAAAAGTGTGAAGTGATTGTTTTTAGCAGCTCCTACTGTGTAGTTCATAATTTCTTCTGCTGCTGAAAATAAAGACTGCTTTCTGTATGTCCCTTCTAGAGTGGAAAATCTGCCACCTCAGGAACAGAGTCCAAATATACAACTCATAAGAAACACAATCATGAGATTTGTGTGTCTTGATAAACTACAGCATGTGTCAGAATTGTCTGTATAACCAGCACTAGGGTACCAGCAGGATAGGCAGAAAGGAATTCTGCCTCCTATTGCACACAATTCCTGAGTCCAACAACCACCTGATTGTGGACAGGGAAACATCCCTTTACCACTGCTTGCATCAAAGCAGAGTTCCATCTTGGGGCATTAGAGCTGGGTGGGATGCAAGCTATGATGTTCTCTGTTGCCTTTCTTCAGTTAATGAGACACCAGCAGCTTCAGAGTGCACTTGGAAAGAATTTGAGCAAAGCTAAAGCTCAGGCTGATCTCTGTATCCTCCACCAGATCCACATGAGATTGTTTCACTTGCTGGATAGACACATGAAGTGTCAACTGAAAACTGCAAAGGAGACAGCATCGTGCTGCCAAACGCCAAATCAAGTGTTCTTTGAAACACTAAACAAATCAAAGCTTTCTCCTGTCTTAGGTAAATAAAATTACTTCCACCATTTTAAGTAGGCCTTGTGACTACCAAAACCATCTGCCAGCATAATCAGCAACAGGAGGGGAATTGTATACAATATTTCAATGGAAAAACATTCAGTGGAGATGAGGTGGATCTCGCACACAGTGAATTATTTGGAAAGGCTAGAGAGCTGTCAAAATGCATTAGAAAATGTTAGAAGCATTCTTTAATAGAATCAAAAAGAAGCGGATCTAAGAAGAGGATCTAAGCAACAGAACAAGCAGAAATCGAGACAAAGCCTTCAAAGAACCTGTAAGCTACCTGGGCATATACCCAAGAATATTCTAGCATCACCTCACAACCCATTCCATGTTTTTCACCATTTGCTTCTCTTTTTTTCAGGCAGAGGTTCTAGAACTTGTTTTAGTCTACATAAAATTAGTTGAGTTTTGACCTTTCAGTTAAAAAATGGTTATAAAAATACTGAATTTTCTGGAGGGTAGTTGTTGGAATGCTGCAACTTGCATCCTAGTTTCAGTTCATTTTTAAAATGATAGACAGATTTGGAAACACTTGTCCAGGTTGGTTTCAAAAGTCTGGTCTCCTGCCAGCCTCTTTACTGTACTGGACAGGCAATCCACTGAACAGGCTGTGTTGAAATTATGGATTTCAGATTTTTCAGATCCTGTAATAATTTGTGAGAGACATGTCCTACAAACTGAGGTACGTATCTTGGTGGAGAACATACTTTTCTGTTTCTTTTGGAATTTAAATGAAATACATACTAAGATATTCATCTTATTTATGAGGCTATTTTTTATCTCACTGCCTTTGCAGAGTGGGACAGATCACCACCTAGAACAAACAACACCTAGAATCATAGAATCATTTAGGTCGGAGGAGACCTCTAAGATCAAATCTAACCATTAAAGTAGCACAGTCATGTTCAGCCTTAAACCATGTCCTCAAGCACCACATCTACTTCTGACCTCTCTGCCCCTCTCTCCTCCCTCCTGCAAGTGGAGAGGAGTAGTGGAACATATCAAGGTGGGACAGATTACAAGGCATGGACAAGAACCATTGCCTAGCATTTCTCTCATGTCTCTAATGTTATCAAAGCAAACAGAAAGAGCTCTACTACTCTTAGGAAGTCCCATGCTCCTATTTCATGGTACATTCTCATAGGTGGGACTGCAGGTAAAAATAGGAATCATCCTAAAATAAAGCCATTATGGTTCCCTGAGGATGTCTGGTACGAAGTCACTACACAACCTCTTTCAGTTTCAAGTAAAGAAAACTCCAGAGAGTAAATCCTGCAGCTTCAAGACTATGCTTAGCCAACATGCAATGATCATTTGTCTGTTCTGGGACATATGCTGTTATAAATTGCTAAATATTTAGGCAAAATCCACCTAATTGAATAATGCTAAAACGTCCCCAGGAAA